CTCAAGTTGTAAGGGCGATACCCAACATGGTTCCTTGCTGGTAGGAAAGAATAGATGCATTTCATGAAACAGATTAGAAGGAGAAGATGTGATTGCTAGAACAAGAAGCTCATTGACCGGACGTACGTATCCGACTGTCGTTTGAGGCACAAGGCGTGCTGTATTCATAGGCCGCAGTGAGCACACGAACACAGGCATACTACAATTGGCAGTTCTCTTAACTGTATCCTGTTGAGAGGAAGAAGAAGATTGCCAATACAAGCGAACATGCGTGTACCAAGAAGCAATTGAGAAGAAGACTCGATCGCTGGGACAGTAGGTTTATTCGCCTGACGTTTCGACATTCGTCGCGGATTCATCATCAGAGACATGAGCATGAAACAGTAGCAGAAACAATCTCCCAGCGATCGAGTCTTCTTCTTCTGAGGAAGAAGAAGATTCGATCTCTGGGTCAAAATTTTTATTCACCTGACGCTTCAACATCCGTCGTGGATTCTTCATCAGAGACATTAACAGAAACAGTAGCGAAAACTGATAATTCATGCACAGGGCTTTGTAGTAGGTATAGGAACAGTCAATGCTGCACTCTTGTGACAATTAACGACTCTCCTATCCAGGATAATTGCCCGCTCGGGCGCTAATGGCTTGATGACCGGCGTGCGAGCCGTGACCTGCACTTTTATCACGCGTGGTGGACTCGGACGTGATGATTGTTTGGCCATCTGACTCTCCGGCGTTGGCGTTGGATGACGCGTGGGCCTGTGCGTTCCCCAAGTAGTGACTTGCTTTGGCCAAATTGCGCCTCGGCACGGAAGAGGGATTGTTAGGAGGTTTGGCAGATTTGCTTAATTTGAGTTGACCCAATTGTGAAAGAACTCCCGCGAACGCCTCGAGTTCTTTCACGATTGGGTCAACTCAAATCGTTGCATTTGTTTATGAATTGGGGGCCTGTGAAGCATGACTCAAGTAAGTTGATGAGGCTGAATTTGTCGCAATAGGTGAAAATCGTGTGAGCCGAGAATTTCTTGAGTCAGGTTCACGGGCCCCCCAATCCATAACAAATGCAACGATTTGCCCAATTCATATTCCGTGCCGAGACTCAATTTGACCAAATCAAGTCGCCACTTGGAGAACGCACAGGCCAACGCGTCGTTTTACGCCGACACCGGAGAGCCAGATGGCCGAGAATCAAGATGCTCGAGTCCACCGCGGATGATCGGAGTTCAGCAAGTCAGAGCCCACATGCCGGCCAAAATGATATCGACGCACAAGAGAGCAATTATCGTTAATTGTCGTTATACGTTTGCAGAAATGACTGTGTCCTATTGCAAATTCCTGTGCATATGTTACCCGTTTTTGCTATCGCTTTCTACTCGTGTCTCGGATGAAGAATCTACGACGGTTGTCCAAACGTCAGGTGAATGAAAGTGTTATCCCAGCCATCGAATCTTCTTCTTCTTCTCAGGTACTTCCTGAGACGCGCATGTTCGCTTGTATCCTGTTGTTCGAACACGGTAAATGCGAACAAGAGAAAGAAATCAACGAACCGAACGCAACCCCCGTATTCCCAGATAGTAAGTATTCCGGTCTGTTTTGAAGGACCAAATACAGCGGTACTATTTATATACACGAAAAATTGCTGTATAGGGGAAATAGAGGGAAAAGTCTTATGGAGAACGCAAACTTATCCGATCAAGTGAGAAAGGGAAAACAAACCTACAGGGATATGGGTTCGAGGTTCGGGGAACTTGGTCCATTCACTATGTAATACATAGCCACGATCCGAAGAAAGGAGAATCAAGGAACAAAAATGAGTCAAAATTTGCAACAATGCCCCAAAAGGAGCAGGCCTTCCTGCCTGAATAAGCAACTCACACAGCAACGGGCTCCTTGAACCGACCCTCCTGCTGAATCCGGTACATTAAATCACCACCATTGGCGTACTCCATGACGAAGTATAGTCGATCCTAGGGTAAACAGTAAAGAAAATTTAAAACCCACTCACAGGCCTGCAGAAGGAAGGTAGCAGTGAATTTCGTCGCGTTTTACGTTATTTCGCCAAATAGCAAATATTTTAGGCAAAAGGCTACACTTACAGAATAACCTCCTCCCCTACGAGCAAAATTACTGTCCCTCAAATGTTTTTCTATTATTATGACTTCGAAGCGTCATTTATTTCAATTGTATCAACAAAAACATATGTGACTTGAAATGTCGTGTACAAGGTTGTTTCAAAAACCTATAGTGAGGTTTAACTTTGTAGGCAGATAGGGCTTTAGGATATGCAGAAACGTATAGAGCGGAATGGGACACCCGTTTCTAAAGTCACACAAAGTTTCGCCGACGTCCACTACGCGCATTTATAAATCAGACAGATATTTGGGTGCTTGCAGGCGTAAATAGGGGGAAAAAAGGACGCCTACAAGCTTTTAGGGATACACTCTGACAACAAAGACCATTTTGCGCTACTTTTCAGGGAGGTCAACGCGAGTGTTACATCTTTATATTCATAGGTCGCTTTAAATGTTGGGCGCATCCATCTCATCTCTTACAAACGCAGCTCCGCTAGCAGCTCGCTACTATAAGCACAAACTCCATTTCCGACAAAGACAATTTACTAAACAGAGTTAAAATGCACTTATAACTTATTTTCCTGGATGCGTGCGGCAACAACGTTTTGGAGAAAAAATGTAACTTCAGAGGCACGACCACCCAGGCGTCAAAAGCAACCTGCTGGCGAACCTTCCAACATGCAAAAAGGCATCTGAGCTCGTCAGAAGACAGTTTAAAACACCGGATGCAGATAGCGAACACAATTTGTGCATCCTAAGAAGGGAGTTGACTTTTTCCACAGACAAGAAAACGCGTAAAAATACCATTTACCATTTAGGATGCAGTATTTTGTGGCCAAATCACGAAATATCACCCTCCATCCATGACCACCAGCTAGCGGTGAAGAGCCGAGATGATTTCTCCCTGGTAACCATGCCCATAATGATCTGTGAACACAAGTCTGCCTTGGAGAAACCTCGCATATTTGGCAACTGTTCAAAAAGGCGTCGTGACTAAACTCTCATGGTTATCTTAGCTTAAACCTAATCCCTGCAATTGTGGATGGGTGCTGTTGCCATGTCCTGTTTAGGCGGCCGTAAAAAAGTTTTTCGCACCACAACTGACTTACGCTAGTTATAACATCACACTTATAGGTGTTTGCATCTACTCGGAAAATGCTCGAAAAATGCTAGCACATTTCCTCTGAAGTTTTTTTTATTAATTCCTGCGTATTTTGATGCTTGACATGGTCGGGTACATACTCACAAGCTTTTGGACATGGGCTGGAAGTGCGTTCATCAATCGGGTTATGGGGCGTGTTCATGTCATTCGAACTTTGGGGGTTGCCACCTAAGGGTTGGCTGATGATGACTTATAGGTCAGAAATGACCACTTCAGTCTCCCTTGTCTTTTTCGCTAATGTATTTCCACCTAGAATATACGTTAGCCGCTGGCGGGGCTCGAGAGCGAGGTGCAAGGTACCGCGGAACGAGTGAGTTCCGGAAGTGATGTGTGAGCTCCTATCTACCGTTGCAATGTATAATAATGTATACATAATAATAAAAAAACCAAAAAAATGCACATTTTAAATGTGCGTTTAAAAAAAGCAAACTACCTCGCAAGGAAACATAGGATCTGAGAACATAGAGCTATTCTAATTGCAGGACTTCCAAGTATCGAGAGTCTACAAGCTATACTGAATCAAACATGGCATGAGGCTGTAGAGTAAGGAATAACGGCTTGTCTGATGACCTTGGGTGCACTTTGATGAATAACTAGCCAGAAATTAACACTCTAATGTACTTGTCTTTGCCGCCAAAATTCTTCCACTGTGTTGGTGTAAACTGAAACTTTTGTTTTACTAAGCCGCACCTAGGAGCGCCGTTTGTAATTAAGAGTAATGAACGGATTTCTGGTTAAAAGCAGTCACTAGGAGCCAGTAGACGGATAGTTCCTAAGCAAAATTCACTGCTTATTTCTGAAGCATACATGTGGAGGCTAAATTCGACGCCACTGTTGTCAAATTTTGCAAAATCCCCGCAAGCATTGGCTTACTGTAATATTTTTGCAAAAAAATACAAATAAAGTAGTCAGAAATGACAGTCTTTTTCTGCCCACGCTACAGACTACTATCAGAGCTCGGGAGCCTGTTCGTCTACCCTCTCCTCTCCCGTGGCATTACAAAACCTCCCAGCCAGGGTGACTGACAGTTGGTTGATATCCACTGTGTTCCCCAGGGACTGAATCCAACACCAGTTAATTACACATTTATCACTTTTGTAGTGATCGCAGACTTATGCAGCACCTATCACACTGTGTCCCCTTTCTCACCCACCCAGTTCTGGCTTGGGTGCACCAAACGCGAAAAGAAACCTTCTAGTGCTCAGTACCTCGTCAAAATTCTTATTGAGCTCGGTTGTACAGCTAGTATTGAATGAGGCAACATGCAGAGTCCTGTGTCAGAAGGGTGGATGTTGTCGCAGTGTCACTAAATCCTCAGGCTCACCAAACATCCTCTGCTTAAATGGTTCTCGTTTATCCCACTGTCTGACTGACGGAGAGAGCACTTTCCCTCGGCCCTGAAAATGCACCGCGAGAAACTGATGGTGACAGGCAGGATGTGGTAGCCTGAGCCGGCGACATCACCGTCCTTATCCTTGAGTTAGAAAAGCCGTCTTGTCAAAGTAAACCAGACGGGGACATTTTTCGAAGCAGAGGAGGAAAGGCAGACTGAACTAGTTTGCAATGAAGGGAAGCCAAAGACAGCAGAAGCAACGCTTGGCGGATATTGAGGGCGGCGTAGGGGCGGGTATGGAGGGGGGGTGGGAAGCTGCGGTGTTCAGCAGAGCTGGTTGTTTTAAAGTTTGAAGCGTGAAAAATTGCTAAAATGCCTTGTTAGGGGGCACAAACGCGCTTCCATCAGAGGACTCGGCAAAGACTGTAGGATGCAGAAAAAAAGCTACGGACATCATAAACTTTACAATTCAGAGAGAGATTGTTGGAGGTCTATAAAACACTCCACGACTGAAATTGATCTGAGCCCACTAGTCTCCATCCTTTGGGAGTTTTCTTCAAAAAATGTCTATTCTAAGCAGGCACGCATACTTCACGAAAGTCATATCCAGTATTCAATTTGCAGCAAATTACGTTTCCTCTCAGTTTATGAAAGTGTTATCATGAGTTTGTTTAGGATTTTAAAATGTTTCTTTAAATAACACTCAGTTTATTGTTAGAAAATTGAAAAAAGGCCAAAATAAAAAAAGAACATTTACATATTTTTAAACCAATGTATGTTTAAATTTGCGAGGGCAGCGAAAACCAATGGAAGAAATCGGATTAGTTCAGCGATCAGTTCGATTGAGTATGGTCCATATAAGCGCGTGGGACGAAGCGTTTGAACGAAATGCGACATTTCTGGGTTATACTGAAAGATAATCAGTAACACAACTCCCCAAATGATCTTTGTATTTGGGAAGGGCGGGCAGTGTTTTACGAGTCACAGGGCCATAGTCGAATCGCGCCTTACATTTCCAACACGTTACGTTGTCATAGCTTGCCATGATAAACCACCTTCCCTTACTTTTAGACACGAACCTGCTGTTTTTTGACATTTGGAATTTGCCCTTAGTCCAAAAGTATCCTGTAATAACAGTCAGATCTACATATTTAGCAGCCAATCAAAAACGGCGAGCAGTAAATTTAAACTTTCCTCTTTGTTTAATACAGAGAGATGGGTAAATGCCATATATTTTGTAGTTCATAAGTTATTTATATCGGAATGGATTTAAAATTATGTGTGGCAGCAGAAACCATTGAACGTAGAGAGGAATGCATAAAAGATTGTCTTATTATATTACTAACGCGGAGAACTGCCAAACACTAGGATAAAATTGTTCAGTAAGCTTAGAAGAACTTGCAACGTCCCAACCGAATATGTACAAAGCAATTAAACCACACTATCTAATAATATACATGAAATGGACCCAACAAAGCAAAGGGACACGGGAATGACCATTTCTGGCTTGTTAGCCGTCATCAGCCAGTCATACCCTATCTCGAGGGCTGTAACCCCCAAGTTTCGAACCCGAGACCTTTGTTCATTGAGTTTAATGTTCTATCACGGCACCACGGGCTCGTTGCTTTGTCGGTTAAGATCGGGGATATGATGAATATATGTGCTTAGCCGGTTTGATTGAGGAAAAATTAGGTTCCGCTTCGCGTAGGAGTTCACAATAGGAGCCCGCGCAGGCAGTTGCATATTGACTAATGAGATAGTATGAAATGGATCCGGTAAAGGAAAGGGGGACCGGACTAAGTAAGTGCCTGCACGGGCTTTGGTTGTGAGCTCCTGGGTTAGGCGGGAGCACATATATTCATCAATAATATACATATTAAAACATATTTCGCTATAAATTAACTGTCGTGAATCCCTCGAGCTGCCTCTCATAGGGCCCGACCCGAAAATCACAGAGTATACAAAGCTCACCATAGTTTGAAAGCATGAATGCAGTTTGATGAGGAAAGGCGGTTTTTCCTGTAACGCGAGGACACGCTTCTCCATCATAACACACTCAACGTCATCGTCCTGAAGGATCACATCCTTTTTGAGAATCTTCATCGCAAACACGTCCTCCGTGCCCATGCGCTCAGCTAGAACGACCTGAGAGGCGGGTAGGGGGCAGGGTTAAAAGAGGGGTGAATGACCTTCGCTTCCATTAAGATGCAAACTCCGTAAGATAAAACAACAAAGTTGTATGAGCGTAGTTAAGCAAAGAACGTTGCTTTTGAAAGGCTTTCCAAACGCAGGAAAAACAT